TGATTCGGCCATCGTTTTCAGTGTAAAATATCCTTTAAAACACTTGGTTCTCATTTAAAATGTAGAAATTAGAGTTGTACTGAAGTACCCTGAAAACAGTTATTTTAAAATGTGGGTAAAAACTAGTCCAAAAATTATTAAAAGCAATTTTGGTTTTTCTATAACGCTACCAGTTCAAGAGAAACTCAGCCGGGCCATCTGAAAAGGATGCCTTGCATATACCTTTTTTTCCGAGGTAAGGAAATTGTATACACACTCCATAAATATAATTTGATATAAAACATTTATTAACGTCAGGATTTTTTCTGGGCGCGCAGTTACGAGTGTTTAATGGTTATTGGAAAATTGTCCGTTTGGGAGGCGGGATCGATAATGAATTAGATAACAAGTGGATCGTATTAATATTATAATAACAACGTTCGTGAGCCTCTGCGACTTCTTTTTTCCCCCCCTTCATCAACCTAGTATTTACTAGGAGCCGTGCCGTGCTACCGTCTCCGGCGAGGAGCTTTTCAAGGAAAACATATAATAAATACACCCACGCGTATAATAATGGTATAGAAAGTTCCATGATTTGTGGCCTGTGCCTGTTGGGGCTTATTACACGTGCACGGGCCTCGTATAAAGAAAACTCCAAAATTAAAGTCCGCTTTTTATATCACCATCGATTTTTAGCGATAAACAGACTTCAGACTTGTTACAATTGATTAATTACTATGTTATTACAACTAAATTCAAATGACACGTTTTTGTAAAGATAGTTCCATTAAAAAAATAAATAAATAAAAAATAAAATCGATCGTTTTATTGAATAAGGCTTTATTTTTGTGTCGAAATAGTTATGTATTTCACACGTCGTGGACTGCTGAAAAACGTAACCCCAGTGGGTATGGTCCTAATGCAAATTTGAGTAAATTAAGAGGTTTATGTTAGTTCCGTTTGCAAATAAGTTTGTAATCCGTATTCCGAAGTGATCGGGCCGAACCGAAAGTTTTCGAAGGGAAGATTTTATTGACAGCAATAAAAGTTATTCTGACCTAAAACGCGCTCCGTCGACGTCATATGGTCCGATTTCCCTTTCAACATTATGAGACGAATGAAAAGTCTGAATGAAATTTCTGTTACTATTTGAAAATCGTCGACCCACAGACAAAAAAAAATTAAATGTATGGAAAGTTCAAAACTTCAGATGGAATTTTCCAACTGGTTTTGTTTATGATAAATCCGTTCCAAACTTTTTGCCGTTGTTCATGCGGAAAACGGGGGAAAAGATTACTCTGAAGACTAAAATGCGGTTGTATGATAAAAGTTTACTTAGGACAAAATAAAAGTGTGTTTGGGTTAACGTTAAGAAGTTGTCTTTATTTGCTTGTGAGGAGTCTTTTTTTATGTCGATTTATCAAATATGATGTCAATCACGTTTTCCCCCCGTTGTATTCGTTTTAATGGTTATGCTCACCATTTTTCTTGAAATTGCGGGAGGGCGGAGTAGAGGTACCGCCCTTGAAGGCCTCTGGGGCATTAAACGGTCGTCTTCCGTTTAATTTCGTTACGCTGTGTTATTTTATATGTAGGATTCCGGGCGAGCGATGGTGCTCATTTTTCCACACTTTGTAAAGTTTCAATTAGTCTGAAGATTTTGATTGTAATCTTCAGTAAGTCTCTAATACAAGTTAAGGTTCTTTTCTACTGTTATTATTATTTATGACAGATATATCAGGTCGGTAAAGTAGTTATAACGCGTTAGGATTGCTTGAGGAAAACCTCTTGTTTCAGCGCCTGTTCAAAGCGTTTGTTTTTTTAAACACTTTATGATCTAGTAATGATAAAGAGCTGGGGGCTAAATAAATCTATGTTGCCAATACACGGGCAGAAACAGAGCAGGAACAAAACTGCGCCCACCCTAAACTTTCGGGATTTCGAGCTAACCTTGAACAAAATTGCTCTGAAGCAACTTTAGGCAAGAAAAGGTTAAATTATAAATTGCATATGAAAAATCGTATATTTGGCAAACACAACAGTAAAAGATGCAGTGGTGGTGAAGAGCCATGTTAGAGATTAATGATTCTAATATGGAGATTTTAGATTGGCACCGAAAAAATCTGTGTTGCCAATACACTGGATGAAAAAACAGTGTACTCGCCCTACACTCATGGGATTAGCTAAACTTAAACAAATTTGCTAAATCTTAAGACATTTTTAATTGCTCAGGATCTTTCTACATAACTGGGCAGGCTTTGTATTTTGAAAAGTGGGGACGTAGGTGCCTATAGGCATAATCGAAATATTTTTGTGAGGGTCAGTCTGAGGCGATTCTAAGAATCAGCCAGGTAAACATAACTGTAAAATTTTACCTGTTAAACCGTGTAACTGTTGTGAAACCTGCATATTTCCCTTTTACGAATGTCGTCAAAACGATATTTCTGTATCTGCCCTCGAAGAAATAAATTTTATAAATTCCGAGGAAGGATATGTCATATGAATCCGTGAAAATACTTGCGAGATCTTATGGTCATGATTACGAACGAAACTTTTGGAATGTAGTCATAATTATAAACGATATTCCTGACTATCTAGATTTGTGTATCTAAAGGTGTAGAATTTTCGTTTTCAACTTTTCAAAATCAGCTTTATTATTAAAAACAAAAATTCCTACGATACATATATGAGTATGTTTTATGTGAAATTTATTGTCTGAAGTGACGTTTTTAATTATCCATTTTCGTTTTCTTAGTTAATTGACCAAGTTGCTTTTTTAATTATTCTTTCTAAGGTCTTGGTTGAGATAAAAAAGTCAGTGTCACGAGCGGGATTCGAACCCACGACCTTCGGCTAAATACGCCGCTACTCTACCATTTGAGCTATCGTGATTTCGATCCACTCGGACACCAACTCTCCATCTCAACCTGCAATTTTTTAATTATCTGTATTCGAAGAACTTTAATGAGCTTTTTGCTAAGTTTTGGAAATTGTTTGTAAATAATATCGGAACCTTCTCTTCTGTATTATTTATCGTCCAGAGGGAGTGTTTTGCCCATCGGCAACATATGCTCAGCAATCCTTGAACTCGTTTGTTATCTCAGCGGCGCCGCTTGGCTATCGAGGAGTTACTTGGCCTAGATTAAAATATCGAGTTGTAATTGTTGTAAATTAATCGGAAAACTGAGACAATTTCATCGTAATGTAGTCCACCCTGTATCGAACGGCCATTGGCATTTTGAATATTGATCAACCAGACACACCTGGGAACAAAGGAAGGATATTACCATCCAGACTGAATGTATCGAATCATGTTTTTTAATGGGTCCCAAACCGAGCATCAATCCAATCGCGATCCCGGGGCCTGGAGTCATGGACTCATAGTTCGACTGCGTATTTAAAACGATTTTCCTTGTAAGGATATCTGCCTGTCGTGGGTGAAACGTCGGTTTGTTCTTCGGAAGAACCGGGTTAAATTTGATCCGACGCCGAAGATGAGAACGAACCAGAATCGAATCTATATGGAAAGGTTTCATGATTGCTAAATGACTGGATAAGCTTAACTACATCTCCCGTTTTTCACTCTACCTTATTTTACCTCCATTTTTTCCTGCCAAAGTTTCTGTTATCATTTTCAATATATATACATTTGTTTTTAAATTTTATTCGCGATGTTCGTAGGAAAAAAAAAGTGCAGTCCGTTTAACCTACATCGCAGTACAGAATACGTACGATATATATTATTCACCATGCTGAATTCATCCAAAACTTCGACCATACTTTGCTTAAAAAATAATAAATCGATTAAAATAATTACTCTGGTTAATAGGACCATCTAAATTATATAAATTATTAATAAATATGTATAATGTCGAATCGGCGTAGGGTGTCACTTATTGGGTCCGTCTTCACTCGCGGGTTTGCAGAATTACTCAAACGCGTTTCGGCATCGGCCATCTTCAGTGAGGAACTGTCTGTCTCTTTGTCCAGTTCCTCACTGAAGACGGCGCAAAACCAAAACACATTTGAGTAATTCAGCAAACCTACGAGTGAAGTATGCCAGTTCAGCATGAGTTCACCGACTCGCAGACCAACACCCATCATCAAATAGTAATAAATTAACATTATGAAGCAACGAAACATCATTACATGTATATTAATAAGTATAAATAAATATATATGCACACCTTGATATTACACGACATTATACATTTAACAAAGGCTCTCGTAAATGTCACTGGCTCCTGATGCCAGTAAATTATAAGTTAAATGGATACTCTATTGAAGACTTTGGGATTGCTTGATACATTCTCTCCCTCTGAGGGATACCCGTTTGCAGAGCAGCATAATGTGCCGGAGATCGTCATACATCATACAATTTGCGGTCGGTCGAAGAATAAATGTTGATTGGATTTACTTATCTCTGTGGGTAGGGTGTTAAACACCTTGAAAATATTAAATTCTGTTTGACAATTAATTATCGTTTAATTTTTAGTTTCTCGAGCGGATTTACACATTCTCGGATTAAAAATATAAATAAATAAAATTTTCTTGTTTATACGTTACTTGATTTAATCAAGATGATAAAAATATATATGAGCTCTTTTAAATTACAAGCGATAAAATTAAAATATACGACTGTTATTCGACGCCAGACTTGAGACAGTACGAGTACGGTACAAGACAGACAGACTGACAGAAATGGATGTTGAGTATCAATAAAAATACAAACCATCATAACTGCTCCATCTTCCAAGAAAATCACATTCCCCGATAAAATAAACCTAATGGACGATTCAAAGCTCCCAGTGATAAAATTGTGATAGTGTTTAAAATTTATAAAAAGCGATAATTTCAAAAATGCAAATTAAATGATAAAGAATAACAGGAAAGGAGGGAAATTTACTCCAACGCGTTTTAAGTGCAATTGGGTTTTGTATATTTTGTGAGTGTGATTTGGTTGGAAGAGAGTAGGATGGAGTGACTTGAGCGGTGGTACATGACAGCAGGTTTTGTTTCAGTACGAAGAGGGTATCCATCCCTATATGGAGCCGCCGACTCCTGGTGCTATGTACGACCCACATGTCGGCCACAGACCCCTACAGGGTATTCAGCCACATCTAAACCACAACATGCACTACCCAACCGGAGGTAACCATGTTTCACCCGTCACCAACCACGTTATGGGACCCGTTCCCGATGTCCACAAGAGGGATAAAGACTCCATATACGGGTAAGTACCAAATTTTTTATTATTTACTTTTCCAAACCCCTTAAACCAATGGGCGATCCAATTAATTTTCAAGTTTATGGCACAACTGTGGCCATTGACGGAATAAAATGGTCATTCCTAGTTTTATTTTATGTTAATCTTTAACAAGATTTAAAGAGACTGAGTCTCTTTGCGTCTACTCAACAAGTGACTTAATGCTTTTAAAATTAAATAAAAGGCAAATTTATTTGTTCAGATATTGAGGATTTAATAGTATTGTCTATTAGTTAATGGGCTATATTTACTCTGGTTGTCCGTTTTAAATCATCAATCCTATAATACTGATCTATGTTTAATGTTTATCAGAGTATCGAATTTGATACATTAAAATAATAATAATAAAGTGCTTTTTAAAGCCGGTCATCTACAGCTCTACTTTGTTTGTAAGCAGAATTTATCTCCAAATTTCAGACTTATTTTCATGTTTAAATGTAATTATTATATAATGAATGTAATTTCAGTTTTATTTTAGTCAATTTTGTTTCCAAGCTATCCAACTTTTACAACAAAAAGGTTTATAAAAATTACTCGAAAGAAGACAAAACCACGAAAAACCAATATTTTGTACTTTCAATTTACGATATAACGAAGATAGAATGGTTAATATTAAATTATACCTATGTAAGATATAATATTCGGTGTGTGCTTTGAGAGCTATTGTATCCTCATAGCACACCGGTGAATCCTAGTTTGTCAAGGAACTTGATTAGTAGGCCCGGTTTCAGTGGTTGAATTTCTTATACAATCACATTGTACAACCCAAAGCACTTTCTCCTGCAGGCCAAGTGTACCACCACATGTGAGGTGTCTTGGTGTCCCTGGCTTATTCGCAGAATCTACACGTGCCAGGCTGGGTTATACCAATCTTCAGATACCCATTTAGTCTGCAGTGTTCTGTTAAGAATCCGGTCAGATTCGAAGTTTCTCCTGCTCCCTTTGGTGCATTCTGTTATTTCTTTCCTTCCAAAATTTGCTAGAACGTTCTTGGATTGTTTATTGTGAATCCCTATGTCACAGAAGAGCTCAGGACCTATCAGCAGTATAGTGCGTCCGTTTTCTCATTGTCCTCTACATGTCCTGAGCCCCAGCAGAGGGTGATACTTCGATAGCTATCTGACATGAAATATTCTTGTTTTTGTACCCTTTGTGCAGATTGAACTGGGTTGCATTGACTTTAGCAGGGAAGATGCTTTTGTATTTTCCCATAGATTCTGGGAATTTGGTTCCCGGACTGAATACTCCTACCCCCTTACCTTCCTGCTTTCTAGATGCATCCGTGTACCAAGTATTCTTATTAATGTTTGTCCTTTTTTATTTTATAAATTTTTTAAAATCCAAGTTTATAAATAGATAGTAATTAATTAATCAGCAAGAAAACGAACATCTAGATTTCGTTTTCCTATCTTTCTTGCTTATTTTTACACCGTCGCCGTAAATCTGATTTTAAACTGTAATATAATAGCCACTTTTATCTTCAGGCCTATACTGTTTTTTATGTATATTAATTTATTCTATCATGTCATTAAATATATTGTTTATATTATCTTGTGCTGGTGACTTGTACACTTGAGAAAATATCGTGTTCAGAAGTTCGATAGATTTGTTCGTCTTCAGTGAGTTACGTCTGTTTCTTAGTTGATGTTATTAACATGTAAAAATTATATTCTTTATATTATTATTCGTCGTGATTATTGTCCAGTCATTAAAACGATTTAATTTCGCGCGCCCCCCCCCCCCAAAAAAAAACCACAATAACATTATATCTGTTGGGAAAGTAATTTTTTCTTGTAGCATGGTAGGCGGGTAATAATATGTAGATGCGGGCTAGAAGAAAATAAAAGGAGAAGAAAAAAAATCGAATAACAAGATAGAGAAATATGTTGTTAGTTTCACGGCTGTCAGTCATACCTGTCGGGTTGTGTTCTGTGACTGGATTCCGATTCAGTGACTTTGAGATAGATAACAGATGAGAGGAGAGAACCACTAACTAAACCCCCTCTCTTTTCAGGGCTTAACGACCAACCCCAGTCATTGACTTCTAAACGATTAGGTTAATCTCTCGAAAACTACACTTAACAATTTATTTATATGCCCCTTTTGTTTTCTTATCTTCTTTGGGGAGTATTTATCACGCACTCCGTTTTTTCGCTATCCCATCCTGGAATTTCCAGCACTTCATGATTTTTGAACTTTTCTGTTGTTACGGTAAGTTCCGTTCGGGCGGAATCGTATGAGAATTTTAGGATTTCATGTCAGTAGTTGGATCTTGCATCTTCCAACCTCGGGGTCAAAATTGGATCAGGTGATTTTTTGCCCAATAAGGTAACTCATACGCCAATCTTTGTTGCCTGACAGACTGTATAATTGAGTGGAGATGAACTTTAGACATTCTGAAAAGTTATGTCAACATTTGATAATTCTACCGTCTACTTGTAAATCCAAAACGCCTATAAACTTATTTACTAGAACAACTAAATTGCATTTGATGATTTGGATTTGGATTTGTGTAAGGTCACCCTTCACCATTCACAATCTCATTCACCCGGTTAGGATGGTGGAATACTCGATCACCTCACCTTTTACACCTGTACTAACTTGAGAGTCGATGGGGTACTCAGTATTCCGCCATCGGCCCAATCACTACACATTCACGCTCATAAATACGTTCATTCTCACGCGCGAACTTTATGAAATTTGAGCATAATTAAGCAATGTTCTTAAAAAAATTGAATTTTTACCGAAGAACATTAAGATCGAATTTTTTTTTTAGTTTTCCAGTACGAGGGTACAGATTTTTACGTTGGGCGCCAAACGAATCCATTAATGTTTATTTACATGTTACACCTGATATGATTTTCTTTCATATTAAACTATTAATAGCTTTTGACCATTTTTGGTTGATTTTTCGATTTCAATCAGTCGGGTATATAGAGGCTTTTCAAATAACAATTCTAAGCGTCTTGAACGAATTGGACAGATGGTCCAACTACACGTTTGACAAAATCTAACAACGAGCCACAATGATCAGAAAAATGAAAAGTACAGGTTTTCAGTTTGCGCTCTTTTTCTTTAACTAAATAACCAAATTCAAGCTGAACCACCATTGGGTCCCTAATTGGGTACGCCTTTATTCGCGGGTTTGCCTAACTACTCATACGCGTTTCGGCTTTGTGCCATCTTCAGTGAGGAACTCATGTTCGTATGTGTCAATTTTCGAAAGCCAAATACCAAAATTCACAGTAATAGATCGAGTCGGCTTCCTACCTCAACCTGCTTATAACCCTGATTTCACGACAACTGACAACGATTTTTCGTAATCCAATTAGCATGTTTTTTTTAAATTAAGAGGATTTGAAATAAATGATGATAGTTTTTGTCGTTATTTTTCGTAATCCAAATGGAAATTTCAAATAATTGCTGAAAGATGGATAGAAAGGGTAACATCCCTATTCCATTGCTAATTAAGTATTTTTATAAGTATGCCAACTTTAAACACGTGTTTTATTCAATTAATTGCGCCCGCCTTCACTCTCGTTTGTTGAACTACTTAAACGCGTTTCGGCATTACGCCATCTTCAGTGAGGAACTGGAAGAAGGACGTTGGTTGGAAGGAATTGCGTTTAGTTGGTTTAGTTTTCGTTTAGTTCAAGAAAAACAACAACGCAGACTGAAAACGTTTACAAAAAAATGTATTAAAAGTATGGCTGCTTCACCCCAGACCTCAAACTTAATTTCAGATGTATTAATTTATTTATATTTAATATAAATGTTAGTCCTTTGTTAAATTTGTGATTCCCTAACTATATTGTGGTAATTTCTTCGTTTTTTATTATTTTAGTCTACCCATCCTCGCTGTTTTGGTTCGCGAACGCTTTTCGATATACTTTCACTATCTCTATTGGATTTGTCGTTGGTTCGTGAAAGGTTAAAGACAAAAGGACTGTCCTAATATTCGAAACGACCTAACTGCAGGTTCATCACACAGCAGACCTGAAGAAGAAATCTCACACAAGTTACCGAAATTCCACAGATCGAATGAAACCATTCAACTTCTAAACATCCTTAGACCTTTTTTACAATTAATTGGCATTGTCGAGGTTTTGAGGTTGTAAAATGCCTATTCCCTGTGTTATTTTTGACACAGTTAACGCATCTCGAACCCCGACAGCTTGGGCTATCGTTAATGGAGGTGACTGACAAGTTGAAACGTCTAAGCCTCTTTTGTAGTCGAATTATCCCAATGATGTTAGAACACGCCCAACCAACCCCCGGCGAGTTTCATTGTTCCGCAGGACCTGCTTTTACTAGTGGGATCGGCGCCGCGGAAGATCGGAGGCTGCAGGCCGGACGATTTGTCTCCTCCATCCCATTTTATAATTGGTATGTAAATTATTTTAAATTTTATGGCCTGCTATGAGAGAGACCATCCGGAATGTACAGGTTTTATTAATGAACGCTGTGGTTTACATATCCATCTATAATTAGTTTCAATCTCATTCCTGTCCCTCTCTCGGATACATTATTTAAATACACTACTTCATCTACATAAATAACCGATTAGAATATCGTTTAAGATAATAATAAAATTAATAAATTCCAGAATTTCAAACATCTTCTATCTTTAATGGGGCGTTTTATTTTAATATAGATCTAAAAAATAGGTTGAATTCATTAATTCATCAGAGAAGGTTTCATGCTAATTTAGACGAGTTTTCCTCTCTGATGTTAAATTCATTATGGCCGATGTAATTTGTACATTTAATTAAATGCTCCTGCCAATCGTAATAGTTCGATTAGCTAAGTAACATATTTTAATTTATGTGCCGATTTGTACGGCCACTTTCAAACAGTTTTCGTTTTATTCATGCAAGTTGCATAATGCAAAAAGGGATTTTGCCAAGTTGCATAGCCGATGATTTGTCGTTTGCATTTTGAAGAAACTTTTATCATTATCACTGCTC